AAATGATAATATATGATATTTAAAAAATTTAAATATTTTTAAGTATTTTTTTAATTTTTTAATTTATGTATTTATTTATTTATTTATTTTTTTATATATAATAATATACTTTTAGTGAAATTGTAAATATTTAATTATTATTATAATTTATGATAATTTTATTTAACGTAAAATACAGTGTTCACACAGTGTCTAATTTTCGTTATTTTAAACTGTTTTATAATTTTAAGTGATAAATTTAAATTTTATAAAGTTTATTGCAGGTATTTTATTTTTTCCAATAAACAAGTATTTATAATTTAAAATTAGACATCATCTATGTGTTATATGATTTTAATCTAATTTAATATCTAATATAATATTTCATGTTATTATACATATCATACTCTAAATTATTTATAATACATACAAATAAATATATTAATAAAATAAGTATTTTTAAGTATTGAAGCAAGCGTTATAAATAAAACATTGAGTTCATAACCTACATACCTAACTACAAAGTATTAAAATTGTCTGTTTAATTCACCGTCGTATACTTTTACTGATAATCTTTATGATATACATTCTGTAGTTGTATATTTGTATTAATAAATATGCATAGTGCATTTAATTATTGTACTAACCGCCAAAACCAAGTTTTAATTTTAACAAATAAACTTGAAGTAGTCAAAGTCAATAAATTATAAATTATTTTTATCATATTAATAAGTACTGAAAATTGTGAGAATTACTTAATTTTCTGATTAAAAACATTTGTTTAAAGACTATGTAATCCTCATATCAAAAAGTACTATAAACATAGATTATAGTTTTTAAGAATTACTGAGATTTTTGTAACACGGAAAAATAAATGCTTTTAAGCAGGATAATTCCATTTAAATTTAAAAAATCTCCAAAAAGAGTTTTGATCATAGAAGTAAATCATACTTATTTAATAATATAATAGTATTAATATTTTATAGCTTTAAAAATACATTAGAATTATATTTAACTTAAAATATAAATATAGCTAATTTAAATATTAAGAAAAAAAATATTTATGCCAAAAATAATTAACAACTGACTTTAGAGTTTAAATTATGCATAAAACAAGGCGAAACTCTGTTATCGAATTGGAATAAGTCCAAGCTGTTGTTTTCCAGTACAACTACACTGATAACTCAATATTTAACGTTGGTGCCATAATATAATGCTGTGGATTTAATATTTATCTTTAATGCTTGGGAAAATTTGTACGACAAAACTTCTATAGTTTAATGAAATATATGATATATTAATATTATTGTCAATATGAGAATAATTTTATTTTTAAAAAAGAAAATGGTTTATTCAGTTTATTGTATAGTATACAATACGATTGAAACACGTTTTACATTTTAACCCAGCAAAATGTGTTGAATATTTATTTAATATTTAGTATAGTACTAGTGAACATGATCTTTCAATCAGAAAATAAATGTATGTTCATTTTTTGGACTATTTTGAATTTCACATATTTTTTATAACACACCACGTTTTTAAAGGAGCAATTTTTTTTTGCTTTGAAGCAGAATATTTTTTTTAGAAAATTTGTATGTTAATTATTTTAATAATAATAATAATTATAAAATTCATTATTTTACAGTTATATTAAGGTATTTAAGGTAGTTACCCTAACTCCCCTTATGGTAAACATTTAATTTTCTTTCTGCTGCAGCGTTACATAAGGCAATGTAAATATTTATAAAAAAATTAATTTATTATAGAAAAATATTTGGTATCCAATATATATTTTTCATTTTTTTTTTTTTTCAATTAAGTACAAGTTATTTTAAATTAACTGTATTGCATTAGTTGTATGTGTTTATTACACCATTTTATTGAAACGATATAGACAATATATAATATTATCATTGATCGTTGATTAATAGTTATTATATATATAATATATTGGTATATCACTATGCATAATAATTAATAATGGTAATATTTAGCGCGATAAATACTATGTTATAGTAAAAATAAAAAATAAAACATTATTATTTTGGTGTATCTTGATAATAATAATATCACATCTAATTCAAATAATTATAAAGATATTTGTTTTAGATTTTTTTCTTTGCCACATATTCTTATAATGTTTTTTTCTTGTTTCATTTAATTTCGCAATATAAGTATAAAAAATGAGATTATTAATCTGTTGGCGAATTTAAATAAACCCCACAAAATTAATTACCTTCAATTTATTCTAAGTACTCAAATTTAACGCAATAACACTATTATAGTGCCTACAGAAAGAAATTAAGTGACGATTTTTCTCTGGATAATAGCTGTCGTTGATGGCATTAAAAGCATTTCGATCGTTTCTATCGAATTCGACACTAGTGAAACAAAAATAATAATATAAAATATGTAAAAACATACAAACGGAAACGATGAATCAATGCAATCGGTTACAATTTTTTATTACTATTATTATTATTGTTATTATTATTATTACTATTATTATTATTATTATTATTATTATTATTATTATTATTATCATTATTATTATTATTATCGTTATTATTATTTTAAAAATAATCTATGAATTAGAATTGAATCGTAATAATTGTATTCATAATTTATCGATTAATTCGTATACATAAAAATAATATGCAATTAATTAATTTACATGCATACAAATATTACACAAATATCGTTATAATATATATATATATATATTACATACTATTCATATGTCTTGATTGTCCATCAAGTACGAACAGTTTGCTTGGAAACGACGAGACTAGTACCAGGAGTTTATGCGCGCCGAACCGGCAGTTGTGTTTTGCGGTACAGCGTGTTCGAGAATATTGCGGCGACAGCGTTCCACACTACACGTATCGTTCTGGGATCCTAGTACGAGTGACTTTCGATTTTTCTACTATTCGGAGTCGTAATGTTATGCAACTAACAGTATGGTCGTGAGGACACGAGGCGTGCAGTTTTTTATTTTTATTTCGTTGCACGTTAACCTTGCATCACTGCAATGTTAAATTCAAATCGGTGCACACGAAAAACGATTCTGAGTGATCGGCAAGACATCACTGTAAGGTGATTATTTTCACGATAATATGTTTTTTTGAAAATTGCGAATAAAGTCATTTTTAATATTACTATTACGGTCGATTTATTTTTTTACCTAATACATTCCATTGCTCGTGTTATTATTTATTAACTATTAACCAATATATTATGGTTTACAATTAAAATTTATATAATTTCGATTTGTAGATACCTCTTCGCCTAGAATGGTGTGTATATGTTTTGAAAATGTCATTGTGTATATTACACAATACAATAATGCACGAAAAAGTTTTTAGTGATTCTTCATTTAAAGACTACGTCCAAATTTCAACTTCAAATGTCTATACAAAAGTTGCTTGCACACAATTTTTTTAGATCTCTTGATTTCAGAATAAACTACAAATAGGACCCCTTAAATAGCATTTTTAAGTTTTTAATTTAAACGAAAAAAAAATGGAGCATACATAATATATCCATAAAAAGCTTAAAAATAATCAAAATATTTTTAATTAAATCATGCGTAAAAAGCTGAAGTATAAATATTTGGTATTTTGGTGAATGTTTTATGTTTATATAGTTATTCTTTATTGGTGAGTAAACGGAATTCTTCAAAAATAAACTTTTATTTTTTAATTTTAATTTTATTTTTTCGATTATTAAAAAAATACCAGTAATTTTTACTTTTTATTTCAAAAGTACTATTTATTAGATTCACTTTCCTGTAAAAGAATAGATATTGACATTGAAAATTAAAGTATTTTTACTTTTTCAAAAGGTGATAACACTGATAATAGATAAATTAATTAAAAGAATTTAAAAGAATTCAAATAATTGTAAAAATGAATACATTTATTGCTTCATTTAGAATCTAAATAAAATTGTAAAAAATATTCATTGTTATTTTTAATGAATAAAGTTACCGATTCTAAAAGATTAAAACTTACTGCAACTAGACATAATACTCTGTACTTTGAAAAAGTGATTCTTTCCAAATAAACTTAAGATTTGCATCAACATACATTTGTGAAAGTTTAATTTCTACAATTAATTATTTTAAACAAAAATAAAAGAATAACATACTGATGGATGAAGCTAAGGCTGTTTGTGTTTCATTAAAATATTTAAAACTAACAAAAGCACCACTGAAAAAAAAAAAATAAGTAGAGATTTTTTTTTAAATCTCCATCACCCTAGAGGCAAGAAGTAGGCAAATTGTCTATATGTATTCAAACATATTAAAATATTAATATTCTTGAAACTTAAATAAGAAAATTTAAGCAAGTAGTCCAAAAAAAGTTAACTCTGAATTACTAAAATTATATTTTATTATTACTACCTAACAATACTATTATATTGTTTCGAACAACAAATAAATAAATTTAATAAGTATAAATATAGTCATTTTTGAATTGATTTCAAAAAACCTAAAATGCAATAATAACTCTCAATTTTATTTTTAAGTTCATGACAAAAATAAACACGAGCAAATGAAATATTTGAATACTGAAAAATCATGAAATAATGTAATAAATGTTTTACGGCGATGTTTTTTTAAATTAAATATAATCACTGTGTATCTATATAAACAAAATCGTACAATAGATTAGGTTAATAATAATTACGAAATTTGAGATAAACTAATGAATATATGATAAATTCGATACTTTCGTTACGTATTTGAAATTGTAGGGAACAGTAAAAGTATTCCTAAACTGTTGTGTGACAAATCACTCGTTAGAAAGGATTATTTTTTAACTAATAAAGGCGGTAACCACATCAGGCTTTAACATAAAAAAAAAAAAAAAAAATTGTAAATAATATGGTATTGTGCATAACTGGTTCATGTAAAATTCAGCACAGACGTTTAATAAAATGAGTTTATTTGGAAGGGATGAATTTTAAACATACAGCAGTTCTCATAAATACGGACCGTCAATAATGAACGTCTATCAGTTTCAAACAGCAGAAGCATCACTAACCGTGCAGCACCGTTCAAAAAAAAAATTCTTACAATGGCCGTTAAGGTACCTATTTGCACCATTTTTTTTTTTTTTTATAAATTATTATTAAAAAAAAAATATAATTTCATCATTTATTTCTAAGCCACATTGGTTTTATTACAGATGATCGTTTTCGCCACCTGCGTGGCCGCCGCTCTTGCACAATACGCCGCCCCGTCGTACCCAGCGCAACACGCTCACGCCATTCCCGCATATCCGGCGCCAAAGGCCTACGCTCAAGCCGAACACGCGTACGCCCCGACCCCGTACAACTTTGAGTACAGCGTGAACGACCCGCACACTTACGACGTGCACAGCCAGTCCGAGTACAGCGACGGAAACGGTTACGTCAAAGGATCGTACAGCCTTTTGGAAGCCGACGGTTCCACCCGCGTCGTCGAGTACACCGCGGACGACCACAGCGGTTTTAACGCCGTGGTCAAGAACGAAGGTGGATATAAGACACCTTACAGTGCTCCTGCTCCTGCCTACAAGCCAGCTTACTCCGCTCCTGCTTACAAACCGGCGTACTGATCGACTGTAATACGTACTATGTCACGTATGCCACTTTCTTCCATCTTGTTCTCATTTTTCCTCGTTCGCCTTTCAATTTTACTGCGTTCGCGTTGAACAATCAACGGTTGCAAACTTCAACGCGACCATTTAGATTTGTAAAATACTGATTATAATAATTATTGTTGTACCAACTCATTGTGTAAATATATGCATAAAATATGTATTTATTGTATATCTCCGTTTTTTATTTTTTATATATATATATATATATATATTAATTCAATTACCATTAATTTATGATATGAATACATCACATCAATATAACATGCATCATAGCGTTTATGTCGAAACCTATCGTCAAAATATGTACTGTCATTCATGGTCACTGTAGTTTTAAACGTTTTAAGCCAAATTCAAATCGATCGAGAAAAAATTAATAATTTAATTTAATTAAAAAACTGTGTTCCTGCAGCAGTAACACTTAATAGATGCGTTATACATCTGCGCCAATCATTGCACAAAATAATATTTACGTGAGCGTAAGTACACACACATATATATTATATATATTTGCCACCAATCTATCATATTTTTTTAACTCCTATGGTCAGCTGAATTTTTCAGTTAGAACGGTAGAAATCTGGAAAAATACCAGTAGTTTTAAATTTATTCAATTGATATTTATTAAATATATAGTTAATTGTTTGAATTACAATAATTTATTTTTATTTCTATTACATGCAGCAGTAAAACAGTGCTTAGTTCCTTAGATACTTAATGTGTTCGTATTTTGTACGTAATATAATTACTGCGGTAGTTTTAATGTTTTTATTGTAGAGCTGCACGTATATAGACTATAACAGCCTTCTAGTCACAATTACAACAAAAACAATAAAACATAAAAGGTTTTTCTTCATTTGACATTGCCATTTGTATAACCTGTCTAAGTAGGGATTATATCCGTTTACTCGTTTTCGTGTTCCGGTATACTACAAAAATAACAAATTTTTCATCACCATTAGAATAAAACAATATTTTTATGGACGAAGTATACGTTTTTTTTTTTTATAAAACAAAAATAAAACAAATCATTGGAGTGAAATAGCTTAAGTAAATTATTTACTATGTGCGTAATAACACTAAAATAACAACTATTAGAAAATTGCCATTGAATTGTATTATTGTTAAAAAAACATCTTTAAAAAAATTCAATATGATCCTTAATGGAATTCAGTTTATTATATTAAGTTAACAGAGTTACCTAGTAGGTTTTTAAAAGTAAAGTTATGTGCGTAATTGTATTTTAATTTAAAAATATATTCAATAATTATATTACTCAAGAAACATTAATAATATATTTAAGTGTGAATACACTCATTTTTTTTAAAAAAATTCGATCTTACGCGGTATTATATTTATGATACGATATATTATATCGTGATTTTTTTTTTTACCTTAACATTTATTTTTTATTGTTTAATATTAAGTAAAAATTCTTATATTTAAACATCGAATATTGAAGCAATGGTTTTTCTGATTAATTAACATTTTAAGTTTTGAAAGTTGAGTTAAGTTGCAAAGAGTGTCTATGAAGTTTTTAGTTCACTACTTCATCAGATATATTATATTTACTCTATCCAAATGAATAACTCACCTATAACTACTGGACTAATTATGTCTTATTTTATAATACTGTAAAATATTAGAATATTTAAATTAAAATAAATTATAGTATATATTTAAAAAAAAAAAAAAAAAAGGAAATAAACATTCTATTTTATAATATTGTAATTCAAAATCGTAATCTTGTAATAATGGTAAAGATAACAATGATGACATACACGTAAAATTTGTATCTGTGTGGCTTATGATATTTAGTATGCGAGTGAATAGTATAGTTGAAATTATATTGCATGTTTTAACTGAAAAAATTGATAAATATATTATATATTTATAAAATTATTTATTAATATAATTACATCCTATATTTAAAAATATATCATTCATCTATTTCCTTACCTTTTTGAATAATAGTACATGTTTATTATTAATTTTAATTTTAAAGGAAGTTCGTTTTCGATTGAATAAGATTTTATGTGACATTTATTCATGTGAACTATAAGATGTGTATATTAATAGTGTTTATTGCTGGACATTCTTAAAAGCATAATGCAATCAATTAAATGCGTTATTAAAATTCAATCTTTTTAGATTACATTTGATTAAAGTTTTTTAAATTAATAAATTGAATATAATATCATAAATTATGTTATATTTTATAATTACGAATAACTGATATCATACGAGTGACCTTTTTTATACCCTAACAACTCATCACAAATTATTTTTAAAATTTTATAAATGTAAAATTATTAGAATCAAACATTAAGTACATATAGAAAAAGTTGATATTCAATTCTTCAACTAAAATTTTATTAGTAAAAGAATTTAATAAGTAGTAAAATTAGACAATTTTATAAAAAATTAATTTAAAAATGTAATAAGTCAAAACTATATTTCCAAACCTTTTAATACACGGAAACGATGAAGGTTTGTAAATTTTTATTTCATAAATATAATATATAAAATTATGATAATTTTTTCTAAATTTTTAATATCAGTCATAAAAATGTATAATAATACTGATAAGTTATAATTGTAAATTAAAACATAAATTTAAAAGATATTTGAATATAAATAAAATAATTTGTACTTTTTGCTACAACTTTAAACACAATGTCGTAAGTCATAAATATAAGGACTATGTTGAAGGCTGTAAGCTACGAATTGGGCATTGCTGTGATATAATAATAGCTCACGTTATAATTACATAAGTAAAAACAAGTTATCCCGACCTTCGTGTACCTTCATGTAGGTAAGTTATGTTCTATTGTAATATTATTCATTAAGTTACAAAACTTAAATGTGCAAGAAATAGTCATTGACTATGAAAATCAATTGTAAATTAGACAAATTATTTCAAATATTAAAAGGCCTTTAGATAGATCAATGCATATTTAAAAATATTTGTAATAAAGTTTAACATAGTATTTCGTAACAAATTTTGATTTCTGGGTTATTAATCAGTATTGTATTCTTGGAATAATTGCAGACAAAATATTTTCATTGTTAGGAAAGTTTTGTCACTGATCTAATAGTAGATATATATTATTTACTAAAGTGAATAAGTGTAAAATAAAAAAAAAAAAAAAAAAACTATAATATTTTTGATTATTGTGAATAAAAATGTAAATATATTCGAGTATAGAGTAATATAATAATAATAAACTTTTTGAATTCATTAGCAATATTAATTTAACAACAACCTAACCTTATTACGTCCATTTTGACAAGTCAATACACCGATGAAAATATGGAAACAGATTTTTACATTTAAATTTAACCATAAATGTGGCTCTTCTTGACAGAGGTGGGTATGACACGAAACAACATTGTGAAACTGTATTGCTAACATTAGGGATAACCTGAGTGCGTCCGATTTTTAATTTTTACCTTTTTCATAACACTAGTGCGTCCGTAGTTTTATTGACAAATTATATTGAATAACTCGAGTGCATTCTCAGTCCTCAGTCCTATTCTACACGCAAGAACATTTTATACATCCAAAATAATATAAATCAATTTCAAAATAATAAAATTTTAAGACTATACTTTGTCAAAAGAATGGCATCTAAACATTCTAATCACCAGTCTGCATAGATAAACTAAAAAAAAATAAATACAATTTTTCTTGAATAAAAAAAAAACCATTTAAAATAATTAATACGCTCACCTAAATTCAGGGTGTAAGCTAAAATAAAAAAATATTATCATAAATAAGAATCAAAAAATATTTTTGAGATGTAAGCCAGTTCACCTCCTCGTGGTCTACTCTAAGTGAACTCTGAGACGCTCTAAGGCTATGTCAAAAATATGACATTTTTTTTCTATTGACGCACTTGGGTAATAGTGATATTACCTTATTTCAGACGTACTCAAAACATTAAAAAAGGGTAATTTCGGGATGTACTCAGAAAATTCCCTTAACATTACAATAATATTTACATAAATCATTATACATTGTTGAATTATAAATATTATTTACCTATTTTGTAAATTGATCGAATTGGTTAACTTAAAAATTTAAGATATTTCTACAAAAAGAAAAAAAAAATCGTATACATTATGTACAAATACTGTACTCGTATAATGTAATAACCTAGAATTTGTTTATATCTGAGTAAATCAATATACAATTCTTCACCTTATATAACACTTATTTGTATGTAAATTAATTTAAAAATGTTACATTTTCATATGATCTACATACTATTTCATTATATTGATTTTGTAACATACGTTAGATAGATTTAAATTTACTGTTCCTAATAATTATGCACTTACGTTATTAGCCGCACCAAGGACAAATTAGGTAGCGAGATGCGTGATAAGTGTAACAAATAATTTTTTAATAATATAACTTGGAAACAAATTGAAAGTAGTAGCGAAACCAGAATTGATATATTTTGTTCTTATTTTAAAATATTAAATTTATTTAAAAAAATAGGCTTATTTAATACATTTAAAATTAATTTGAACTGAATAATTAGTAAGTAGTTAAACATTTTTGTTATCACAATTTTTTAAAAATTTTAATTTATTGATTTTGCAGTGATGACTTACATAAATAATCTGAGTTTTAAACATTGTTTCATAATATATGATCCTTAAAACGATTTCAAAATCTCAACGTTAAATGTATAGAATTATCTTATTAGAAGTATTTTAAAATAGCAGCATACAAATTTATGTTTAGAATGTTATACTATGTATGCCAAATAAATTAATTGACAGTTAACAAAATCTGTAGTAATATTATGTCACATCACATAATAATTAGACCACGCTACACGAAATAAAACAGCTTAATTGGAAAGGGTTACACTATTCTGGCAAATATAGGAGGTAACCATTTAGTGATGGGAATTACACGTATAATACTAATAATATATTGAATTCAACCGGTCTAAGCAATACTAATAAAACATATCAAAATATTAACTAATCAATATCGATTGGAAGGGTAAAATTAAAAATTGTCAGCCAATATAAATACGGAGTATCAATAGAGCATGGTTATCAGTTTAAAACAGCAGAACTAACAAGCACACACAGGACAGTTCAAGAAAAACAAAATGGCGATTAAGGTATATAATGTATATTTTTTTAATGAATTCACTGTAACAAAAAAATCTCGGTATAAAACGATTGTTATTTAAACTCAATTATTTTATTCTAGATGATCATTTTTGCTGCCTGCGTGGCCACCACACTTGCCCAATACGCCGCCCCGGCATATCCACAGCAACACGCATACGCTCAAGCTGAACACGAGTACGCTCCGACTCCGTACAACTTCGAGTACAGCGTAAACGACCCACACACATACGACGTGCACAGCCAATCCGAGTACAGCGACGGAAACGGTTACGTAAAGGGAACTTACAGCCTTTTGGAAGCCGACGGTTCCACCCGCGTCGTTGAATACACCGCCGATGACCACAGCGGTTTCAACGCCGAAGTTAAGAAAATCGAAGGACACAACCAAGGTTACAAGGCACCTTACAGTGCACCTGCCCCAGCCTACAAACCGGCTTACTCGGCACCAGCCTACTCAGCACCAACACACTCTGCTCCCGCTTACTCCGCTCCGGCCTACAAACCAGCATACTGATTTTTTTAGTAATGCACTTTCTTCAATCATTTTTCCTATTTTCTTTGTGAACTTCTCAATTATATGGTTCACATTGAATCATAGTTGCTAACTTAAACATTATCACTTTCATATTTAAAACGTTTAGCATGAATTCTGTGTTTATTTTGTAAATATATAATCACAAATGTGTATTTATTGTACCTATATCTCTGTGTTTTTATTTTTTTTTTTATCCAATTATTAATTGATAGTTGATAATATAAAAACAGCACACGATGATGATAATATACTGTAACAATATATTGTTAAAAAAAAAAAAAAAAAAAAATGAAGAACGTTTTAAATTTTTAATCATAGAGATTGAATTTTGGATTTAAGATTTTTTTTTGGTTTAAAATATATCGTCGAATATACTATTAGCCTAAATAACTGTAGTTTTAACGCTTAAGTATGATGTAAAAAAAAAAAAAAACGAAGGTTGGTAATAGATCTAATACTATATGTATGTAACTTAGCCTTCTAGTCAATTTATTCATCATCCAAATATGTTACTATCAAATATGCTAATTTTAAGATACCGTTCACAAAACCTTTCGGCTTTATATACTTAAATTTATATTTATTCTTCAAATCTGTTTAACGAAATAAAGAGAGTAGTATTTCATACAAACGATGATAAAATAAAAATACGGCGGTTTTTGATATTTTAAGAATTTTTATTCGGAACTCACAGGCATATATTACACCATTAAAATAAGCTTAAGATAATAGTTTTTGTAAATTTACTTAAATTCTCTATTGGTCATACACCCATATCATATATATATATATATATATATATATATATATATATATATAT